AAAGTGCTGGTCACCATTATTAGCTTAAGCCTATGGCATTTTATTCTGCAGAAATTAGCCTAGCAACTAGCGGACTTTACCTCTTCTCATAGGTTAACAATACATATTATTTACACTTATACTAAACCTGGGGCCTTGCTTTATCTGGCCCGTGCTTGTAAAATATTTGCTGTGTCCCCGTCTTCTAATGTATCAACCAATTTACATTTTCTTACCGTTAAAGTAACTGCATCTCCCGACCGAACACAAACAACAAAAATGGAAACCTAAAGACATCGTCTTCAACTCTAAGAAATTGTTTTGGGCATTTTCCCTATTTCCTGATATGATATAGTACAAACAATGAGTCAAGAAAATATTCAGTAAATTAATTGTAGGGCTGACCCCGATTAGTCGAAGATGCTTCGATGGACAGAGCCAGATTGGATTGTCAATCTCACAGTCTAAGCTTTGCAGCTAAACAAGGATCATGCCATTTTGGCGATATGGGGGTGCTCAACGTCTGATTTTACATAGAATTACCACTTTTCTCCCAATAACTTAATACACAACCTATTACAATATACATTTCAACATTTAATGCTGTACATAAATTTGTAAAAAGAATGAAACTTTCAATAAATGTTTTTAAAGAGCGTGAATAAATCCAAAATTGTAACCCTAACCCTGGGTCGTCAGTGAGCATGTGTAAGCATAGCGTGTATGTGCGCAGTGGCAGTGGAGGAACACTTGCTGAAGAGACAGATCCTCAGCTTCACGGTGTTGTGCCGAGTTGTTCGCACCTCGCGAGACCTTCGGATAATTCATCACCACATAAAGATTATTATTGTTTTTAAATAGCCGGCTACTTGAAATAGACCTGCGAGGAACCGTGACGTGCATGCAGTTGACGGCAGCAGTAATGCACGCAAAACTCTGCACAAGACCGGTGAAAGACAGGCGAGAGAGAAAAGGGTCATGACGATTCTGATTCAACTGTGTAAATCCTTAGTCGGGGACAGCCCTAATTAATAAAACCATGATAAAATAATCATTAGTTACAGCCCTAACCCCATACTCTTGTTCTTAAAGTAAGACACTGATAGAAAGAGACCTTTTTTAATGCTATTTTCAATGGCAAAAATCGGATCGAATTACAAACATCAATAATATATTTTAGGTTCCAACCTGTCAAGGTTGAACAGTTATTGAGTACAAAGTAAGATGTTACAGAACGAACTTCAGAGCTTCAGAGAAGTTGGCCTCTGATCTAGTTGAAACTCATTGCTCTGGCCAACAGCAGTTCACAGCTCCCACAGTAACAGCTATTCCTAATTGCTGGCTTTCATTTAAAATGAATGACTGTCTGCTTCTTTTGCTGCACATGAATCTTTCAGTGTGAGTCCCACCTCAGGCCAGATTTGATTCTGCAGTTAAAATATCTATGTCTAGATTTCAGAAGTGAAAGCTTTGCTGGACAGGAAACGGCTAATCTGCTTTCCCTGGGATTTTAAGGTGTGTTTTGATGTGTCAATTCATGTCGGCCCCATTATATAAATTTTCTTTTAGCACATGATCAAACAATGATTTCACATGTGCTTTTCTGTCCTCTACATCTCATCCACAGGGTAGTTGGGGCAGTTAGAAACGGTGTTTAACACAATAGTGTAACAACTGAAGCATTTAACCAAACATAAATTCTCTGCCCTGGAGTCACACTGGTACTAAACTCTATTTGCCGCTTGCAATAATCAGAGCAATAGCCTGACTCTAAACTAGCTTTGAGGGGGTGCCGTGCTGTGCTTTGAAAGGTGTCATGGTGGGTTTTTTACTTAGCCTTTGATTACATCCAGGAAAAGGATGCTGAGGGAAGGTTGCCACACTGTCTGTGGGGATTGTAAATACTTCTATTTCTGCTAAGGTTGTAAGACCCTTCCTGACATAGTGAACTGTAGATTGGCTTTTAAAAGGTTGTGATCAGAAGCTTTATACTGTACAGTGCAGTACAGTGCCTCAGTGGTATCTGTCAGTGCTGCCTGGGAAAAGGTGTGGAAGAAATGAAAATCACTTCCTGCCTTCCACAAAGCCCTGTTTGCTCAGACGTTCTGTCGGAGAGTATTCTTAACAACTGAAACTATTGTTCTGTACTCCTCACTTCTGGGCATTGCGGTATGTATGTATCAACCGTGTCTAAGCTTCATGTTGCAGGGAGACGACGGTGGAAAGGTGAGTAAGCGTTGAGGAAATTGTTGTTAGAGTAACATTAGGAAATAAAGTCTTTGCACAGAAATAACCTTCTTCGTCGTTAACACCGGCGTTTCCTGCAACATCTCACCTCTTACGAGATTTCAGAGCGAGAATTGTCCTTGAGTCAGTTTCTTGTTAAAAACAAAGGTGTCACTTTCCATGATGCTGTCAGACACCTGTTATAACAGTCTGAGCCTGTATGTGGCCAAAAAAACCCACTTTTTCTGGATGTAATTTTGACAGGCGTAATTGCCCGAAAGAATATGTTGCCACTATGGCTGCAAGCTGAAGCCTTCTTCTGCATGGATTCCAAAACTTTTTGTACGTGCTTGTTGTTTCTACACCAACATATGTGAAAATAGGGCCCATTTTTTTAATATCTGTTGAGCATTGTTACGGTCTTTCAATAAACACTTCTCCTGTAGTCCAATCTGCTGTCAGAAAGCAAACTTATGTCCCCCTTTTATTTGTCTATGTCCATCTCTCTTTATATTTTCACTGTACTGACAGAAACATACAATCCCTTTTAATCCTTAGCAACTGCCATAAAGGCGAGGTCGAATATAGTGTTCTCTGTTAGCGCTCAGGGAGATGGTGATGGAGAAAATGCCACGAGAAGAGAAACATTTTAGTGCGAAAAAATCATCTCTGTTAAGATGATGAAATCTTAAATTGTTTGTTGCTGACAGGTAGGTAACAAACAAAACCCTTTTTTGCGGTCTTATCTGTATCTTACTCTGTAAATTGTTGGTGCCCTGCAGGGTCATTGTCATTCAAAATTTGATTCAGAAAATGTAAGATGAGGACAACCAACACTGACATGTTCAGAGGTTTTCCTTTTTTAATTTCCAGACGAGCCTCAGGCACTGTTACCTTCTACCTTTACCAAGGCACTCCATGGCTGTCCAAATAACCAACAACACAGCTTTAATGAGCCTGGCACGATGTCAGTAATAATCCTGCCTATGGACCCAAGAGAATGTCTCCCTCCATTAATCCCAGTTTTCCCTCAGCTACATGCTGCTAATTAGCCTGTGGACCATAGGCCGCATATTTGCTGTGGCAATATAAACCTCAGATTTTCACTGACCTGATGGCTGGCAATTGGCTAACCTGCACTAAATGATCAGTAACCTTGGGACATTATAAATGATGAGCTGCTCAAGTAATATAAGATTGATGAGCTTGGTGGTCTTGTTATATTTGGCTCTGGATTGTTTCCGCATGAGGTGATGAGTTTTACCGTACCTCAAACATTATTTCATCTGCAGGGGGTGGGCAAAATCAATCAACCCCTGTTTATTGCATTATCTATTACCCTAGCTCTGCAACAAAGACTTCCTTTGTGACTCATCATTTATTCTAGTTATTTTATTTTTTCAGCCTGTAGTTTGTGGTCTTGCTGTTTTGGACATATCTACCTACATACTGCATTGTGGCATTAATTGGCAAAAAAAACAAAATTGGCAAAAGTTACTTTTGGAGCTTGACTGATTAACCAGCTTGGCTGAATTTAGGTGATCACTTATATTAGTGTGGACATATATGTCTTCTGGGCGTAATAAGAAATTGCTATAATAGACGTATGTTACATTAATGTAGAACAAAGAATTATTGTAAGTAAAGGTTTTTAAAAGTTTTTAGCATTGGCCTCCAAAATCTGCTGCCTGATTGTGACTAATCTTTAATATCCAAATTTAAAAGAACACTAGCAAAAACACTTATTGCCTTTCTTGCTGAGAGTTGGTTCAGGAGATTGATACCACTCTCATTTCTGTACAGTAAACACAAAACAATCGCCAGCAGCCAGTTAACTTATCTTAGCATAAATACTGCAAACGGGGAAACAGCTAGCCAGCTTGGTCCAAAGGTAACAAATCCGCTAGGCTTGTGCTAAGCTAGCCAGCTGCTGGCTGTAGCTTCATATTTACCATAAAGACACGATAGTGGTATAAATTTTGCCATTTAACTCAGTCCTATTAAGCATATTACTGAATATATAATTAGATTTATTTTCGGTCTGTAGTTGCTTAAATGACACTCTTAAACTATTGTCCTCAAGTTTAATCACCTTCCAGGATTACAGTATAGCATAAAACCCAATTATTTCTAGAAGGAAAACCACTTCCCAGAAATAATTAGACAGATAATTGGAATCTGCTGTGCATCAAGGGAACGGGCTTATACACATGGCTCCTCTGCATTACACTTTAAGCAGACATTATTCATTAAACAGAACATTTCAGTTTCTACGTAAAGGTATAGTTTGTCTATAACGGAAGTAGCTTAAGGCAAATTTTAGAACGTAACTTTTACTTGTAGGTAATATATATATATATATATATATATATATATATATATATATATATATATATATATATATATATATTATATATATATATATATATATATATATATATATATATATATATATATATATATATATATATATATATATATATATATATATATATAGTACAGTTCAGGTTTTTTCCATTATAGTTTGGCTTTGATTTAGTGGATGTCTTATAGAAAATAATGAAAGTCCAAAGCTAGTTGGGGTTCAGTGACTGGGATAAATTTGCCATATGTGAATGCATGCTAAAAAATGTTGACGTAAACTACAAGCAAAACTGAAAGTAGAGAGTGGAACTGGCCGATTGTTTTGGTGCGTGATATACTTTGTTGGTAAAAATGCGGTGACCTTGCCCTGTCCGAAACTTAAAACGATATCTCAAAAGCTCCTTTTTTTTTTAAATTTCTGTTTAAAATAGGTGGACGACATCTTAGGCGAGGAGAGCGACAACGAAAGTGAGGGCAGAGGGAAGGAGAAGCCAGGCAATGAGGAGGTGGAGGATGAAGAGGAGGAGGAGCAGCCTGGACAGATAGCAGGAGGAGGGCCCGGGCCTCAGGCGCTGAGCATGGAGCAGAGGATCCAGACACCATCCAGTGAGACCAGTCTGCCCAGTAGTGTGCCAAGGTGAGACACAGAACAGAAAGCAAAACAGGGTTCAACCAAAAGGATTGTCCACATCAGGCGATTAAATCTAGAAACTGACTTCCCAGTCAGGAAAGAATCTCTTTGTTGTAATTTATTATCACGCTGCTGCCTTTCCCCTGTGCTCTGTGTCGGGGCTGAGCTTCTCCACGCGCGCACACACACACACACACACACACACACACACACACACACACACACACACACACACACACACACACACACACACACACACACACACACACACACACACACACACAGAGTAAAGTCAGTGGACAGCAGATCAGGAAAGCCACAGTGGAGATGACTCAAGTTGGCGTCAACTACACTCGTTACTGTATGCGCAATAACATTTTTGTAAGTAAAAAGCCAATAATTTATCAATATACCTGTTCAGCAAGCATTGGCATGTAGAAAGCAATATTTTAATCTGTTCTGTCTGCAGTCTCTCATCCTCCGCCGCTATTTTACACACACAGCGTGCTAGCTCCGCTAATGGAGAATTACAATCAAGCTAAAAACGTGCAGCCTAACTGTTCAGCTTAGTTTGCCACGTATCTTAAAATCTGGCACATTCCTGTAAACTCCGCTGCAGAGAAAAACCGTGTGCTCCTCTCTCTGCCGGCAATACCTGGAGGCAGTGAATCACAGCAGCAGAGGGAAGAGGAGGTGGACAGGAGGAAGGACTGATACTGACTGATGTCTGAGTTCTTCATTCTTTCTAAACTTCACTCAGTGTTTCAGATTTGTTTCCAGGGAGATATTGAGTTTGTATAACGACTTTGCTGTTTTTAACTTAACTGTTGCTGCTTTAGAAAAACATTTAGCTATATTTAAAATATTCAATGCTGATCCTGTTCTGAATATTTTAAATGTTCTTTTTTTTTTTAAAAAAGCATTTATTTAGTAATGAAAGACAACCAATAAGAGTATCGACAAAGAACCAAACCGATAAGGAGTATTGATGAGTAGTAGTATTGATAAAATCCTATCAATACCCATTTGTCCTACTATTTTTTATATGCAAATGTTTGCTGCTTCGCTTTTCTGACACTGTGTTGTTCTCACTCTTTATTATTTCTAAATTAATTAATCATGGCAATCAAATTTAGTCTTGTTGTTATTTGATACCCACTAATGAATAAAACTATTTTTTGGACTTGATGCGAGTAGATTTCTGACCCACATGCTGGAAGAAAACCTTAACATTCAATAATCCACCTTTCTATCTTCTATCTATCTTCAGCAGCCCTTCAAAGGTAAAATGTGGTACATGGATATCGTATAACTCTCTATCTCTCTCTAGCGGAAATATTTACCATTGCATGTTTTCTTTATCAGTCCTATCCTGTCCTCAGTCTTGGCACTCTCTTCTTTCACTGTTGATCCACTACATCTTGCAGAAACACCTCCGGGTGAGAAGGATCCTTAACTTCAATTGCAGTTGGCAAGAATCTAAATCCATTCACAGTCCTTGCAGATGCACTGTGTATTTTCAGGTCTTACTTCTCCAATGACTATTATCATAACATACCAATTCATCTGTGCAGCCGTGCCGAAGCCAGACGGTCTGGTTCGTCGCCATGGAGACAAATTTCAAACAGACAGCAGGCGGTCGAATAGTTGTGAACATATGAGAGTCTCTTATTGCTGAACGACAGGCCTGAGTTGAGCCGCGCTGTTAGATTCAATCTCTCCTGATAGATTATTTTGTTGTCTTTTGTACATCCTTGGCATGTAATGTGAAATGTTCAGTAATGTATCTCTCTAATACAGTGTGAGTTTCATACTTAAATAATTGTTTTTTGCATGTTTAGAATCCTTATTTGTCAGGCTTTGTCCTCTATAAAGCTACTGTTGTGGCCCTATAGAGGACAGATCCTTATCAGTGCTCTCAGTTTAGCGTTGTCTGCATCGCCAAGATGCAGTTGTGTTGTATCTGTAGTAAACAGAGTGGGTTGGTCATCTGTAAAATGTTTTTATTTTTTTTAAATGTCCTCTTATTTAGTATAATGATATACTGCCACACAGTGTTTTGCTTACCGCTGGTATATTTAATTTACCTGTCTGTTCAGCCTTCATCAGGTATATGGGTACATAGAAAGAGAGAGAGAGATCACAGAAATTAATTGAACAGGTGCAGGGGTAGAAATTAACACCCGCCAAGCGCCAAATCTTGCGTTTGGCGGCCAAATCTTGGAAGGCAGCGTTGGTTTTTGTCGTGTGTCGCACTTAAATTTGTCCCCACTGTACCAAGGGATCTAAAATCATGTAACAGACGGATTAGGGGCGTTCATTAGTGGTTGTTTATGTTAATTTCTGTGTCTGATTGGCGTACATATGTAAGGGGGTGGGCAATTTAAGTCGGGAGCCATCAAGTCGTGCTCGGGGTACCTGGAGTGTTTTTAGCATTTAGCTAGCTAGTTACCACTATAACGTGCATACCTGTCAACCCTCCCGTTTCCCCCGGGAAGAATGAGACTGAAGCAGAGCATAAAATAAAATAAATTTACGAGGAGGTTTAAGTTGAATGATAAAGCATGATTAAGAGTGAGCAGTGATGAGATTTAAGTTGAATGATAAATAAGCATCTTGTAAGTTTATAAAACAATTTACTGTTATGTCTTAAGTACATTTTATAGCAATACATTTATTTTGCTTCAAATTTGGTGTCGTCTGGTGTCGTCTTTAAGATTATATTCGACAGAATACCTTATTATCTCCGTTAAAAGTACTGTTTACGTGACATAAAAAGGCAAGTTATTTTTTTGGGCCAGTAAAAAATATGTTTGGCCAGTCCCATTGGCGGGTGAGCCAAAAAGTTAATTTCCACCCCTGAACAGGTGACACACACTCACATTGCTCAGCTTTGGAAGGTGATAAACTTTCACAGCCTTTTTAACTGAATTAGTTTTGCCAACCAGTAGCAACGCTGGAGAAAAGCAGTCAAGTTGAAATAACATTAGGAATATGTTGCATGCAACTGCATGTTCTGTTTTTTTATATCCATTTCTCATTAGTTTCTGGTGTAAAAAAAAAGTCAATCTTTCCTTAAGCTACCAAAATCTTTCCTCATAAAGACACAAGGCTCCCTTGCTACACTGAAAGTGAATTCAAGAGCAAGACAGGCTTCTTTATATTGTGGATTTGACCAGCATCTCCAGTTTCTTCCCCGTCGATGCTCTCTCAGTGTTGTGATTCTTGAGTTTTATTAGTTACACCTGAGTTTGACATGTCCAAAAATCAGCTTTAAAAAATAAAAAGATATTTTCAACTGTAACTTCCGAAGTTTTACTGGACAGATGGAGAATAAGAGCCATCACACTTCAATTGGGCAGACAAAAAAATTGCAGCCTGCCGTCTGACTTCTTCAGATAATAGTCCTAATGTTGGACCACTGAAGCATTTTTTCTAGACTTGCGTTTCCTGTCTGTGAGCCTCACTGCTCTGATTGTCAGAGCTTAAAAAAGGACATAACTTGTTTGGGGTGTGTGGTCTTGGTTGTGCCTCAGTATCCATGACTACCCAGGCCCTCAGCAGGCAGCAGCTTGATGATTTTCTTCCCTCTTTTGGACATGTCAGTCTGTCTGTCACCTGGTCTGACTCCTTTGGTTGCTGCTAATGAGTCAAGCCTGAAATACCGCTGCATATTTAGATGTCCAGTCAGGGCAGTGTTGCAGAGGAGAGTCACATGATTAGACAGCTGGAAACACAACAGGGAAGAGTGCAAGGAAGACAGAATTGTGGACTCAAATTGGCAGGTAGGTAATTGGGGTCCTTCCACAGAAAGCTAGTAGTGACATAGTCAAGTAATATCACAACTTACCTGGTCATGACTCTATCTTAAACCACGACGATGCCCTGACAGCGCTTTCTGGTTGTGTGTTGTACTTACAGGTTAAGATTACATTTAACATGCTTGAATGCTGCACTCCTCTGCACCGACCTTGCCTTACTGGTTTGTACTTCCCTCTCTATTTTCTTTCAGATGTGACTTGTAAAAATAACCAAGAAATTGTTCTTCTGAATTTCCGAATCAGTTGAAGTTCTGACTCTTAAGAAATGGGTTTAAATCAGCAACATGCACTAATTGACCAATAAAGCACATCATTTGCAACCGGCCACTTCTGTCCACTACCTTGACTTTTCTCTAACCCGCGTTTTTCTTTGGGAACCCCGTATAAATAAAAGAACTGCAACATAAAAGTTAAAGATTTAAAAGCAGGAAAGACATGCTTGCAAGCTATGTTGTACAATTATACAATGTGTTTTGAACCACGATGTTTGCTAAAAGGAATTTTCTCAAATTAAAAATAATATATAGAATATAAACAATTTATTCATTAGATACAGAGTTAAAATAGAATGGTCAAAATCGAAGTAGCACATGCCAAGATGTCCTGCATTTTGTCTCCTATATGGGTTATGGGTCTTTCTTAATACCCCCATTTCCTATATGCCCACTTCTTTCAAACCCCACACCACCAAGGCTACTCTATTGGTCTAGAGAGGAATTGCTCATTACAAACTGAATGTGTAAAATTGATGGATGCCCCTTTAACACCAGCAAAAAACAACAACAAAATGTTTTTTAATAAAATGTCACAAAACCAGAAATTAAAATATCTCAATCTGTGCTTGCAGCATAATCTATGTCACATATAGCTATTTACACGTTTTGTAAATTTCCAAACAGTTATCGTCACTACTACATCAAAATTTTCATCAAATGTCAAAGATGAGAAGTTTAATACTGTATATCTAACTAGTGAGAGCCTACCTTGAATTTTCTCACAGTTGGAAGTACAGTGTATAATTCTGGGTTAACACAGGTTATAAGCCCTGTACCACAGTTATATAAAGAAGGAAAAAAAAGAAAGTCTGACATCCTCCTCTAACTGTCTGCCAGACTGTGTTAATGTAATTCTCCTGTCTGACAGAGAAAAGAATGTGACTGTATTGTTACCCAGTAGGCCATTAGAGGCAATTTAAGATTTATAGAAGACGTTGTATAGCGGCTTCCTGATTTAGACGTGACTCTGCGGGACCTCCTCTCCTTCGCGAGCTGGCTTAATAGTTGCCGTTCTGTCAGTCTCTGTCCCTGGCTTCACCACTTTCTTGTATTTGGCACAAAATAGACATACATCTGTTGCTAAGATACGGTAGTGATGTGAATGTTTCTGTTTTGTTCATTCAGGATCTGCTCCTGCCTTACTTGTTTCTGTCGAAAGAAAAAAAGAGAAAACATTGCTCTTATTTCTGTTCTCTTCAAGCTTTCCACTGTAATCTATTTACAAACACTAAAGGTAGCTCTTGAAATGCACCCATATCCACATTCACACGATTTATTGTATCTAAATTTAGGAAGAATTTAGGCAACTAACTGCATGCGAATAATGATGTCCTGCTTATTTATAATGTTTCTTTTTCCCAAGTTGAGATGCATCCTACTAAGCATGGATGAATTTACTGTACATCCACAGTGCCAGGTTAGGGTTGTGGGACCCAGGGACCAGTGTTGGTAACCACTGTTTGAGGCAAATCACAATAATTAGCTCAAGAACCTCAACAAACGGATAATTTATTGACCTGCACATCGTGAAAAGGTTTAGTCATTTTTCCGGACAGTTTTTTGTTCTTTAGCAAAAATCTGCATTGGGCTGATTCCAAGTCTGCTGGACTTTTATTTTGGTTTGTTAGTTTGCCAATTAAAAGTCCTTTATTTTGGTGAATCAATTTTCTGCCTTATTGTCTCCATCAAGGCATTTTTGTCCTTGATGTATTTCTCACAGAGCATGGGAGAGCGATGGGGAAGCTGAACAGTCAAAGATTTAATTATTTGTGCAATCTGATGCTGACCTACACTTTTATTTCTAAGTGTTATATTAGGTTTTTGGCACTACTGAGAAAGTATGGTGCTTTAAGAACTCTTGAAACCTATACCCTACTAGTTGGCTTTAGAACCACTCTGTTCTTTATCTTGTAGTTGTTCAAGAAGCATTAAGCTGCATATCAAAAAGTCAAAAGGTTTAATAGATACTTTCCTTTTTTGTTTTTGGAATCAAGGTTCTTTCTTTTTGTTTCCTGAGCCTGTTTGGGGGCCCCATCTCTAACCATATT